TGATGTTGCAGGAGCAGAAGCTAACAGGTTCGATTCGAACAGGACCTGAACAACAGCGAAGGGGTAACACAAGTTCGTCTAACTTTCATGTAGAAGAGTATTTCCCTGTTTAGAAAAAGGGAAATAACTTGGTATGTTCGGCTAACACCGTAATTATACGAATTTATCATCGTATGCGGTATTTGTTATTGTCGGCATCCCAGCTGTGGCGCACGTGCTACGACAGCGATGCAACAAGTTTGAAGTACCAAATGTTATGCTGTCTCACTGGAATCGTAAGTAACTTAATTCTAGCTACATTTTTCATTGCATACTTTTACATCTTTGGGTAACTGTGTAACAGCTTTATAAACTCGCGCTGCCTCTCTCTATCTCTATCTCTTTCCTTCTATTTTCTTAATCGTAGCTATTGAAAGGATTCCGTTCAGCATGAAATTGCTTTAACAGATTGATGTTACAATTTAAAATTTTTTCGGCGGATGCTTTAAGTCGACCAACCGCAACGGGTGACGGGACTTGGCAGTGGATCTCGGTCTTCGCTAGAACAACATCAACACGGGGACAATGTCTGGGGCTGGCACAACAGCAACGCTAACGCAACAAAAACAATGCCAGCACCGAACACACTTACAACAACAACAACAAAGGGAATAACAACAACGTGAATAGCAGCAGGATAGCAAAAGCTGCTATGAGCTGGAGTGACTAGGCTAGAGTGAGATAGCTCGAGAGAGCTGGAGACGCGGGACAGCGAAGGAGCGAGAGAGCGGGCGGTGGCTCTAGTACTCAAAGTAGGCTTCATTCTAACACTTAACATGTTAAAATTACATTCGCCGCTGTTATTACAGTTTTCAGCATTTTTTTTTTTTTTTTTTTTTGTTCCTTGTTTTGCTCGTTAAATGTCAAGCAGAAGTTGAGAGAAAGTCAATGACCGACAACCCTTACGGGAGAGCAAAATGAAAACAAAATGCAATAACAATAGCAAAAGTTTGTTTTTGGAGTTGAATGAGCGCACTTAGTTAGTGCACGAAGGGTTAGGGTTTGCCGTAGTTTGTTTTTGTTCTCTCCGATGTTTCTCGCTTGGTGTTGAAAACAAACTCCGTTATTCCGTAGGCGTGTTGACAACTTGCCAAACAATGCGAAATGAGCAAGGCGAAACGAGAGATGAATTGCATGAGGGAGCAAATAAGCTCTGATTAAATTAAGAATCGCAATTTAAATTTGTAATGCGATGCAGCACGTATAAACGCTTGAGCAGCACTGTTAAGCTTATGCATGTATAAGTATGTATGTTAAGTGTATATATGTATATGTATGCATACGTTTGTGTGTATATGGTTTTCGTTTTGATTTCGCTTAACGCTTAATTAAATGAGAAGCTTATGTAAATCGCGATTAGAATGCATATTATCTTATGCTATTTCTTCCCAATATTAGAGCAAAGCTCAATTTGCATTTGCGAACTGTGTGAGAAATTAAATTATTTATTTACCTGAAGCGAATGCAAATTTGATAAAAAAATAAAAATAAAAAATAAACAAAACATAAAAAAGCACAGGTCCTGCGAAAACATCAGTTGCCTGCCAATGCTGGAAGCGTGGGGCGCTTGGCGCTTGGCGTTTGGCGTTTGGCGAATAGTCTGAAAACGAACACAATAGTAAAGCGGTGTAAAATCAAGAAACAGTTACGTACACAGCTCTGACGGTTGCCCGCCAACCAAACTCCATTCCCACTCGGGGAATCCAGGCTTTGCCCACCTTTAAAGGGGCCAGCGGTGGCGGGGCTGGGGCGGCCGCATCGTAAAATCGCAGAGATCCAACCGCACTCAAAGAAATTATGCGAAAACAAAAATGTAGAGCTTGACGGTGGCTCAGCAGGTGGGACACGAGAAAAGTGTGGAATATCGCAAACAAAACGGAACAGGCAACAAAATGGCAATACACCCATACACACTCACACAGCCACTCGCAAAAACACACTCGCACACACACTTTACCCCTTGCTGGGTAAACATAAAAGCGACGCGAGCTGCTAGCGAGCGAATAAGCAAACAGCCTTAATAAAAATTTCATTTCCTTAATCAAATGCATTATCAAATTACAAAAACAACAACAACAACAATAGCAGCAGCAACAGCAGCGGCAGCAGCAGTGGCAGCAGTAGTAGTAGCAATGTAGGCGTGTGGGCGTGCTGAAATGATGTGCAGCCACAAGAGGCAGCATAAAAAGAATTTTGTTACCCTTCAGTTCAGTCAGCTCTGTCAGCGCCCGCTTAACTTCATCACAAAGCCAACTTCAATCGGTATTGGAGCACAGCGCACACCTCATTTCGGGTGCACACACATACACACGAAGCTGAAATTGTCAAGCGAAACTTGAGATTGAACTAAAGTAGTAGCATAAAAAAGCGTATAAGCCATCAGATACCCAACAATTATCAAGATAAGGTCTTTGAAACGATTTAAAGCAGCTGAGATTATCTGGAAAAAATACTAAAATACTTATCAAAGCATAGGCGGCTCTATGTACAATGTCTTGCAATCTTCAATAACAGCAATTGTTATTACACATCTATTATTAACGCTCGAGCTGCCTAAACAGAACACCCCATTAACATTTAGCAGCGATGGCAAGCGCATCGAATACATATATGTGTAGGTGTACGTGCGTGTGGGTGTGCTTGTAATGTGTTTGTATGAGAGCCACTTGCTGCTGAGTGTTTGAGTAAAGAGTAAAGTAGAAGAGCCAATGGCTGCAATTTAAACCACACTTTCAGCTTAAGCTGAGTAACAGAGCGGAGATTTTAATATGCAGATCAGGAGAGTATGTAAAAGAGAAGAGACAGCAGTATAAATAAAGCTGCCCACTACGAATACATTTTAGCTAAGCCTTTGAACAGCAGTGCAGTGTCACTGTTCTCTTCTGTTGTTTACGTATGTGCGTCTGTGTTGGTGAGAAAAACTGAGCTGAAGATCCTGCATTTACATGCATACATATGCGACCGCAAGCAGAAGAGCGAGCAAATACGTTTTAGTTGAGTCTGTGAGAGCGGAGTGTGACGTACATCGAGATCATACATGCATGATCGCATAACTAGAGCCAAAGCGGTATAAATAAAGCTGCACATGGCAATTAGAGTTCAGTTGGACTTGTGAAATTGTGTGGTGCGGACGGAGCAGTCGTGGGACGAAGAAAAATGGAGGAAGCAAAGTATAAATGGAGGAAGCAGGGTATAAAAGGAGGAAGCAGATTTGAAAACTTAATCTACGCAGAGAATTACATTAATTTACCTGATATGCAAGGCAAAATTATTTTATTTAATTTTATATTTTAATATATGTTTTTCTGAATAAATTTCAACATAATTCTATATATATTTGTCGAAAATATATATTGTTTATGTATAAATTTGTTTTTCTATTACTCATATATTGTTTTAAAATTGAAAGATTATTTCATATATAATTTTTCTGATTATTTTACTCTTATTTTAGTATTATTTTTGCCCTTGCATTAATGTTGTCTGTCTTTCTGGTAGGCCTTGTTATAGTTCCTTTAATAGGAACAATTGGGCCAATGTTCTGCACAAACAAATACATGCGATGCACATTTCGTTTATAAGCTGAAAAATCAATGATTGCATTTGCATTTTGTTAGATTTCTGTAGTTCTGGAATTATGCCAACGTCTGGCGCGTCCTTCTACTTTTGCTGCTGCCGTCGGTGTTGTTGTTGTTGCTTGTACTATTGGGGTTATTGCTTGTTGCTGTTGCTACCGGAAACACGGCCAAGAAGGCGGAGGAGGCAGCTGCAGCAGCAGCAGCAGCAGGTCCTCCTGGTAGTTGGCAACAGCAAAGTCCTTTGGCATGGTGAGGAAATTAGAAATGGAAATTATTATCGTAATTCGTAATGTTGTTGTTGCTTTTGCAATTTCTGCTATCGCTGCTGTCATGTAATTGCACAGCAACACAACAACCCGCCGAACACCAGACTTAACCGCTCTAATCGTTGTAATTGTTGTTGTCGATGCTCAGCTGCGCTCCCAAGTATATTATTAAGCAATGCAATGCCTGAGCCCGCTTCAATGCTTAGATTAGCCAACTAATTGCGCTGCGATTAAAACTTTGAATCAAAGAAGAAATTAGTAAATACTTTATTTCATGAAAAATATAATCAGCTTAACAAAAGTGATAAGTCGCAGTGTGACTGGCATCGAAATGATTCCTTCTTAGTTTACAGCTAATTTGCATCTATTGCTTCTATACCAAGCATATCTTCGTGTCCGATTACAATTCCTATAATTTCGTTAGACTATAATAATAAAACGGAGCCGCTACCAATATACAAATCCAGATTCAGCGAAATTGGCGTCCAGCTCAAACACTGCATAGAGTAACATGTAAGTGGATATCCTGTAGGAGTCCTCTAGCCGCAAGACTAACCAGTTAGACAAACAATTATTCTCGACAAGCGGCATAGCTGTACCCAGTCAAAAACTTGAATTTTTTAAGTGCGCTCCTCCTCCTCCTCTGCGTGTGGCTGACCCTACTTAGGACTCAATGCGACTCAAGGGCCGTGCACATGGCGCTACAAGTCTCGAGCCCTTTTTTCTTTTTAGGAATTCCAAAAGTCTCCAAATTCTGACAAGTAAATGGGGAAAAAAAAAAGAAAAAATTAACATTTCTATCCTTTTGTTGTTGTTCAGTAAACTGTCAATTCGAACTTTAAACTTGAATTTTGTTTATAGCAACATTAAAAATATCTAAATATCGCTACTGGAACTATCGTTGCAACTATGTATATCAAAGCTGCTTTTCACTTCATTCCATTACTGCCAATATATTATGTTGATACCTTGTTAAGATCTGCTATAGCATATAGTGTATTTACACCAAGAACTGTCTGACATCTAGTGTTGCATCGCACTCTTATCGATAGTCTGGGCCAAAGCACAACTTGAATCGTCTAGCAGTCCTTGACTTTCACAGCTGCTAAATAATTTCTCAGAAGCTCAAATTCACTTCAAGCAGCAACATCTCGCTTTCAAATAATATTTAATTTTTTCTTGAAATGGTAAGTTAATTAACTTTTATTTCTAATATCAAATTTTCCCCAATCTGCTTTTTTTTTCCTGCAGGAGTCGTATAATCTACCGATGCCTAGCATTAAGTTGCCGACTCGAGTGCAGCCGGAGGTGATGCCGGAGCCAGGCGAAGCTGGTATGTACACCAATAAAATACACTATTTGCGGAAGTATCTGCTCGACGAGCTGGTCACTAAGAAGTTTGCCATGGACTTCATGGAGCCCGTGGACACAGCGATACTGCAGGTGCCCAACTACTACACCGTCATAAAGCGCCCGATGGACGTGGGCACGATTATCAAGCGGGTGCAGAATCGCTACTACCATCGCGTGGACGATCTGATCAGTGACTTCCAATTGGTCATTAGCAACTGCTTCACGTTCAATCGCCCGGGGGATGTGGTTTACCGCAACTGTCAGAAGCTGGAGAAGTTCTTTCATCGCGTGCTCAATAAGATGCCCAAGGGCGAGGAGAAGCCCAGCACCAAGGATCCGCGTGCCCCCGGCCGACAGCATGGCTACGAGAAGGCATCGGAAATCGTGCAGCGGCAGTGCCAGGAGCACCTGGCCAAGCTGCATATAGCTATCTCCAAGGAGGATGACCCGAGCATCTGCAAATACTTTAGGGCTAAGTTCGATTGCCTGTCGCAGAAAGTGGATAGATTCTACTTCAAGACCATCGAGGAGTTCCGCTTTGAGGTGACGGGCATCTTCAAGAACTTCGACAACCACATTAGGACGTTCCACGAGCTCTTCCACAGGACCTGTGATCAGGACACACAACAGTACTTGGCGAGCTGCAAGTGGTCTCGCGAGCTCGATGGCAATAAGTCGGCGGCCGCGGCCGACTCGACTTTGAAAATGGACAAACGCGATATAACCGAGGTGCTCCATGCACTCAAGAGAGCTGAGAGCAGCGTGGAGCACTGCCTCAAGTCTTACACCAAGGACAAGGCCAACCGTGCCAAGGGCCTGATCAACGCGTTCGAGGCCACCGCCGACAAACTCAAAGCGAAGCTATCGACGGGACGCAAGGTTGAAACAACTAGAGACGATAGAAGGAGGGAAGCACAAATATTTTACAATAAACTCCCAGATGAGAGCAGTGAGGAGCAGTCATCCGAGCAGTCCGACGATGAGGATGAGCCCATGGAAGAAGAGAATCCGGCAGTACAAGTTTTTAAAAACGATTGTGCCAGCATGGATGCAGATTCCGATTCAGATGCAGATGCAAATGGAGATGGAGAAAGAGATGGAGATAGAGATAGAGATAGAAATACAGGTGCAAATGCAGATGAGGAATCAGATGCAGATTCAGATGCAGGAGCAGAAGCAGATGCAGATCCAGATGATGAATCAGTTTCAGATGCGGATGATGAATCAGATGCAGATGCTAAAGCTGCTGCAGCAGTGGGTGCAGATGCTAATGCGAATGCAGTTAAGGCTGTAGATGCAGAGGAAGATGAAGAATCAGATTCGGAAACAGATGTAGAATCTTCTACAGATACAGATGACGAATCGGATGCAGCTGCTGGTGCAGCTGCAGTTGTAGAAACTAATGCTAATGCAGTTGCAGAAACTGATGCTAATGCAGTTAAGGACCTAGATGCTGCTGCAGGAGCAGCTGCAGCTGCCATTCCCACTCCCGCTCCCACTCCCACTTCAAATGAAGCTGCTTTAAAAACGATGAATTCAACGCTCTGGTCTGACCTGCAACTGACCAGCAGCGAAGACAGCGAAGATAGCGCAGGAAGTGCAGAAAGTAACTGAGGGGAATCATCGTAGTTGCCTCGGAGTCCGATTTCACATATCTGACAAATACATAAATATAATAATTATACATCATTACAGATATCAGCTTTAGCACAAATTTGAATACTCACCCATCAACTCACATGGCGCAGTGCAGCAGCTCCAAAGTTGTGGCTCGTTCCAGGGCAATGACACCGACACAGCCAATAAATGGAACACCTTTTTGATGGGGCGACCCATCGACGTCAAAGGCGCCCAAATGTAGGCAATGTGCGAACTTTACCAATCGATAAAAGTTTCAACTTCACGTGCAACACCAACACCTACCCGCTGCTCCAAGTTTCCGCCTTGTTAGTGGGTAAGTTATTTGCCCCAGCCTGCTTGTGTGTAGATAAGGCTTAGCGGCTGCTACCTGGTCCACCCTAAAAAAAAAAAAACACCCAAAGGTCCTCGAATGCAAATGTCCAGTTGTGTTTACCACTCAAAATACGTTTAATTGCGGGATATCTGCCGACTCAGCCTGTTGGCTGCACATAAGGAAAAACGAATTGGAAAAGAAAATGGAAAATGGAAATTCATTGATTTTCATTTTGGTGAGGGCAGAAAATATATCAAATATAAATAAAGACAAGGTCGAATACCCATTGCTGCAGCTGTTAACTTAGAAATTGTTTATTCAAGAATAAAAACTCTCTTGAATTCCATCTCAGCTGTTGCACACATTCATACAAACTCAGCATACCCGTTTCGTGTGCACAAAACATCAAATTACCTAAATAGCACTTCAATTTGAATGTAGCATAAGTTGACGCGGCTCCTTACGCATCCGCTTCGACTTGGACTCCTGCTGGATGCTGCCTAATTTATTTCATTTGTATTCATTCGGGCCCAGACAAACAGCAAATTTATTCAGACACCTGCCCCGGCGCGAATCTAAAATACAATTAGAATAAAATCAAAACTCCAATTATACGTCAATATTTTACATTTAAATGAAAAATAAAACCCCCATGATGTACACAAAAAAAACGAAAATAAAGCAGACTTTAATAAATTATTTTGTTTATGTATAGGATTTTTTATTATATTTATTCTTATTTCTATACACAAATTATTATTTTTATCTCAGCATTAAATTTTTAGAGCGCTAGTTTAAGGAAATATCCAAAATCTCTTTAAAAACATTCAAATCTCATTGGGCAAAACATTTAAATTTCGCGCCAAGCACTTAAACAATTGTATATTTCCTTTTTATACCCTGAAAACATTGAAAATGGGAAATCAGGGTATAATGGTTTTGTTCGAATATGCGCAAAAGTATAAGAACAAAAAGTCCTAAATTGGCACCCCTCAACTCAAAAAAGGGATGTTTAATTCATTTGCAAAGAATTTCCCAGGAGGGGCATATGAACCAAATATACCACTAAATGTCTTATAATTATAGCCACAGGACTTATGGCAATATTTCGAAATAAAATTCTTTAAAGATGGCGGCACAGTGAAACAAAAATATTTGAATTGTACAAAAGATGGCGGCAATGTTTTATAGTTAGTCGAGCAGCTCTTTTGGAATTTATAGAAACTATCATAAAGAGAACATTAATTTTTATGAAATTCTCGCTAGTAATTATTTCCCTAAAATTCCAACAATTTTCTGTTGAATCTCCTTAAACAATATGAATTTTATTGATATAAAAATATTTGGCTATTTAATGTCAACATTTTTATTTAAAATGTAAAGAGTACAAATAATTTAAAAATATTAACAATAAAATCTATCAAATTAATCAAATAAAAATTTATATATATACTTAGATATTTTTTTTTCTTCATAATTTTATTGTTTTTCTTTCGAAAATTTTCTTAAATTTCTCTTTAACATATGTCTGCATTATAATTATTACAGTTAAACGCACTTTATTATAGTAAAGGTATTGTTGCTAAAAGTTTTGCTAAAATATTTTTGAAAACTTCACTTCGATTTGTAATAACATTGCAACTAAAAGAGCAAATGAGATTAAGGCCGTAATATACTTATATACACATCAATATTAGCACATATACATACATCTATATATCCATACATATGTATGCATATTTGTGTATAGATACACATCGAAATTTGTTACTATTTTGGAACGGATTCTCTATAGCTAGCTTCAAAGTTCGACTGTTTTTTTTTTTTTTTTTGTGCCTTACTTTTGTTTTAGAGTATTATTAAAGCTAACTAGCACTCGAAAAAAACAAATAACATTTACTATTCCATCATCAATCATTAATCATTCAATACATTTTTTAGCAAACTATACTCGAAATGTTAATTTTTCGAGATCAAAATACACCCAAAGTCCTGCATCGCCAATAACTGATTAATAATTAATATACACATACGCATATATATTATTCATATGTATTATATATGTATATGTTTATATGCATATAGCCCTCACAACAATTATGACTAGCGTTCTTTATAAAAATATTCGTGATCTTTAACCAACAATATGCATATTTCCGTATTATCCATAACCTAATATACATACATAGGCACACAAACACACTTACACACACACGCAGAGACATAGATAGATTTGCACACGCACACAGGCACAGGCACACACACATATAGAATTCTCTTATCTAACTGTGCTTTCTTACCTAACTCGAAATTAACTTGGATATTAGAGCTCTTAATTTGAGTATATGTTAACAAAATAATTAAAGTTTTTTAAATACTATTAGCAGTACGAGTATTTGAAACAAGTACAGAGATAATTTGATAGATTTTCTATTATATGTCTTACGATCTGATCTATTTGCATTTGTCATGCATTTGAAGAAAATGAGTTTCGCTATCGACGTAAAGCCTTATTGTGAGAGATTTAACTCTTTTCGTTCCCACTTGCACTGTATACATACGAGGGTAGTCTGACAAGTTTACGAACTGACATAAAATATCAACTATAATAATTCAGGTTTTTCTATCTGCTTCATCTTGTCGTTCAAGTCGTTCATTGTGGATATCTCTCAGACCACACTCGTACAAATATATATGGACATACATATGGACTTATCGGTCGTATCATTTCCAGATCGTCTGAGATCCAAGGGGTTATTTAAAATGTATCTTGTAGATACTTTTAAGTCTGCACAAACATATATTTAAACTGGAGTCCAACTTAGATCTCCTGCAAGAGTGCCTCGGGCGTTTGGGGATCTGTTGTGCTGCCTCCCAGCTCTCCACTCATATCGCCAACCGATGAGGAGACCGCCGACAGCATCGTGGTGACCGTGGCATTGATCAACTCCGTGCTGGTGGTTGCTACAGTGCTATACAGGGCCAGAGCCGTGGTGGTGATCACTGTGGCCAGGGCGGGCACGGACACGGCGCTGGTGGAGCTTGTCTCTGTGCTGCTGATGCTGGCCATGGTGGTGTTGAGCAAGAATGGAGCAAGTGTTGTGTTTGCTGCCAGTGTTGAGCTGGTGGTGGGCAGCAGCGGGGGCAGATGGCCGTGGTAGTGATCCAGCATGCCGGTGGGTGGCGTATATGGATACATGGGACACGGATTCTCCAGCTGGGGGCCCAACATGTTCTCGAACAGGTAGCCAATCATGGAGCCTGCTGTGAGTCCAATATTGTAGGATAGTGTCATTATGTTGCCGGTGACTTCTTTGAGGGTGCCCGGCACCTTGGCCGGTGCCAACATCATGGGCAAGCTGCCTGCCAGGCCATTGCTGATGCCCAGTGCAATGGTGAAGAGAAAGGGCGCCGTCTCTCCAGAGATGATCGGGCGATGTCGCGGTGCACAACACAGCAGAAACAACGGCACCAACACAATGCGCAATCCGGACAACAGAATCAGCTGACGACGCGACCAGGGATATGGACTGGCCGCCAGTATCTTGCCAATGACGTCTGAAGTATTGAAGCAGAACATCAGTAGGACAGGCATCCAGGTGCGCAGGGAGCACGAATTGACCTCCACCTCGATGCCGGGATACAGGGAAAGCGTCACACAGTAGGCCAATGCAATGCACACCATGTACGGATAGATAACCTGGGCCACACGCCAGCGCGTCACAAATCCCTCACGTATATCGCCCAACTTGCTGGGTCGACAGCGACGTGGCGTTATCACATGTTCCACCTTGAAGGCGACAGTTGTGGGTGTAGCCGGCTCATGCGGTGTGCCTGGCAGCTCGGGCATTTGTCCCAGGCCCTCAATGATGCTCTCTCCAGCCGTGGGATTAGACAGTTCATAGACAGGATTGCTGAAGCTCAGCGTATTGGCTGTATTCGAGTTGGAATGATGGGGTCCAGCTGATGTGGTTGTCGTAGTGCCATCCATGGAAAGAACGCCGTACTTGGCGCTGGTGGTGGCACCATCGATCTCTTGCTACAAAAAGAATTTATGAATAATATACAGATTTCTCTTCCTTTTCACTCACGTCATCCGGTCGCAAGACGATCTTGGAGCACGCCTCCACGTGGAATCGCACAAATGGCGAATTGATGGTGGCCAAGTGCAGCAGGTAACTGAAGAGTATATACAGCGTGGATGTCAGAAAGAAGATGACCGTCGAGACGCGATCATTGTTGATGAGCAATTTGGTAACCACGCGATTGGAAGACACCAGAAATCCCGCAATGCTCTCGCCAGCCATCACAGCCTGTGTGTATTGCTTGGGCAGCATCGAGGCGAATCCATAGAAGCTGGACTGCTGCACAGTGCAGCCAATGGCTGTCAGTGCCACAGCCGACATGTTCACCACATACGCCGTATTCGTGGCGAACATGTGCCAGGCCACCTCGCAGACGGCCACAAAGATCAATGTGGTAAAGGACACCATGTAGCCAAAGAGCACGCGCGTCTGGAATGGTGCCAATGAGAGCACAATGTTGTTAAACAAAACCGTGATGAAGGCCACAAAGATGTACGTCATGGACATGTCCAGCGCCACGGGACGGCCGGGAAAGCGACCTTGCCAATAATCCGCAGCGATTATGAAACTAAACAAAAGATAGATTAAAAATAGACGTGGTTTAAATTATTCTATGTGGTAGTTGAATTATATTTTAATTTACATTTATTTACTTACACCTAATTGTTGAAAATATAAATTATGCGTTTTAATTAAAAATAATAAAATAAAAATATGTGTAAAATTACATTAAATAAATATAAATGTATTTATGCAATAAATAAACAGAATAAAATTGTTATTAACTATCAACAATCACATTACCAACAACATTTATGAAGACTCACTCAAGTGCGCAAATTAATCCTAATAAATTACTTTTCGACTACATAAATTAAGTTGATGTCAACTCTGACTATGATAATCGCTCGTAATCAATCTTTGTCCCGTGCAAATCCCATTCACACAACGCCTACACATTCACATGCCCATTCACATTCACACACTCAAATTCACATTCTCACACACACACACACACACATCCCCATTCCCATTCTGCTTTACATTTGAATTTCTACATTGGTTTTGCACTCACCTATTGTATGGCAAAACAAATCCTATGCCCGCTGCAAGCAGTGCCAGATAGACGGCATGCCGATGGTCCTTGGGGGCGCGTGTATCATACTCGGGACTATCGATGCTCGCTGGATGCCTCATGCCAGAGCCCGAGCCACGGCCGCTGCGCCCTTCGAGTGGTTCGTATGTGGTTTCTTGTGCGCCTACGTCCATTTTGCTGTTGTTTTTCCTATTGCTTTATTTCGCAACTATTGTTGCGATTGTTTTGATCTTTCTTTTTTTTAGTTTTTAATTTAAATGTATCGCAATGCAATGGGCTTTTGCATAATTTACGCGTTCGATTCGACACGCCTGCAGCGAAGGGAGTACCAAACGCTGAGAGTTCGTCATACGCACTAATACAGGGTGCTTGCTGTCTCTTCAGGCTGCAGGAGAACAACCAAGCTGTTTTGACCAACACAAATCGATAAACAGCAGGCACAAGTTGTTGCTCCAATAAATTGCACTCACTGTGCCAATCGATTACAATGTAAATGTTGCAAAAACAAATCTGTTCCAAAGGCTGCTTCACATTTATGACTTTACGTAAGTGCTATTTGATTTTATTGCTGTGGTCAAATGCACTTGTTTTAATTGTTGATGTCTCCACGTCTGTTTTTTATTGACTATCATTTTAGGAAAACATGCCGCAAGTGTACACTAGGCATGCACAACTAACTGGCCATCCGTTGGCAGAAAATGTTACAGCAGGCTTTTCACCACACTTTTTTCACCACGGCATGCGCAATGGCCATTGGCCACTGCGTAAATGGCAGGCAGATGATTGATTTTCCATGCAGCGCAGACATGCAGTCACTTATCCTTTGGTCGTTGGACTGGCTGGTCGACATCGCTCCTGAGCTCTGCTGAAAAAGCACTCCCAGACGTGTGTATGTATAACAATGACAAAATTTTCTTGTCTGCATTTTTTATGACTATTGATTGACATAAAGTGCTTATAATTTTGAAGTATATTATCTGGTATTAAAATTGTTTTCCCGTTTGCAATTTGCAATAATGACAGTTAAGGCTGAGGACTATGACAGCTGTTCAGTAAATTGCTGCTTACATACATATATTTTGTGAATTTTCTTATTAGTTGGACAGAGAACTAATTTCAATCGTTTACAATATATTTAAATATTCGAAATATCAAATATTTTTATAACTAATAAATAATATATATGCAATACTAATTTCAATTTATCTTATGTTTATTCGCAGATGTATAGATGAGGTGGTCGATACGATGCAATTGGTAAAACAAAAGGTAAAACAGGTAATCATATAGCGGCTTTTTCCAGGTAAGAAAACGTCATGTACCAATCAAATTATTATTGCGATATTTTCCCCCATCAAATTTTAATTTACATAAGTACGTCTACTTGAAAGTGGTATATAGATTTGTATGTATCCAAACATCCCTCGAAAATCCGTGTATATCTAATATCTGGACATCCACCTGAAAATTGAATACATACTAAATTACCTGTTCAAAGGGTTGATAGACAGATACACATCTTTATATATCTATGAATCTACATACATATATACCTCCCATGCATACATGCAAGTGACTTGCAAATGAGACATGCATATGCAACTATGTATATAGGAACAGAACATCCCGCCGTATCCGTCGATGCTTTAAATAGTAAAAAGACAAATATTTTTCCCAACCACTCAGCATGGGCTCTTTTCCACTGTTCAAAGCAAAGACAGCGGCGCGTTTTTCCGTTGGAAAAATCAGCAGGAATACAATTAAGATAATTAAAAGTGATTTTAGAGTCTGTAAACGCCGTTATTAAAGATGTGGCGCAGAAGTTTGCAACTTAAACGATATCCCGCACTTGTCGCTGGCTATTGTGCAAGTCATCGTTAATGTTGCCGGATTCTGTGACCTTAAAGTACAACCACAAATGGTTTTTATAAAATTGGTAGGCCAGACTAATATAAGAAGTGCAAGGAAGTACCATTACTATAAAAGAACCGAACATCTCGCCGTATTTGTTGATGCTTTCATTAGTAAAAAGACAAATATTTTTCCCAGAAATCAGCTTGGGCTCTTTTCTACTACTCAAAGCAAAAACGATGGCACGTTGTTCTGTTTATCAGCTCAGCTAAAATATTAGTAATAGTATAATTAAGATGGCTAAAGGTGAATTAACCAGCCTGTGATACACTTATATTAAACGTATGGTGCAGAAGTTTGCAACTTAAACGATATCCCGCACTTGTCGCTGGCTATCGTGCAAGTCATCGTTAATGTTGCCGGATTCTGTGACCTAAGACAACATGCGAATGGACATTAAAAATATGAGCTAAGACGAGTTTTGATAAAGCTAATGCGTAGCCCATCATTTGTCGCGTTCTCAATCTATTTACAGCTTTAAATGTATTTATATTCCCCAGTTTCCTGAAGTAGCGGATGGCCAGGAAGTCACCATACATCACGGAACGAGGTCAACGTCCAACAACTTCAATTCATTTTAATCAAATATTATAATTATATATTTATTCCATTAAAAAATGTTTATTTGTATTACTTGGATATAACAATAATAGTTTTCGTTTATGCAGATATTTTAATGTTAATAATTATATTAACATAAATAAACAAAATAAAACAAATATTTTAACAGCAATCTTGTGACTTCACATTGACTAAATATTAAATTTGTCTAATAAAAAATATATAATACAAACAGCATTTAACATAATTTAATTATTTTTCAATACATATCGTGACTTTGAGGTGTGTAAAAATATAATGAAATATACGCCAATTAATTGTTATCGCATTGCCGCATTTGTTTTCCTTTAATCAAAGAAATATGTATTATTATTGTCAGCAATGCAAACATTACTTAAATAATGCTGTGTATTATTTTACATGCCGAAACAGACCTCAATCAAAAGGTGTAATTTAAGAACTACGATACTTTTTTGTGTTTAACTAATCGGAATGAGCCGTTTTGTTTTGGTCTGTTTTGTTAAATATATCTTTTAAATTTTGACAAGCTTGTTTTATTGTTTCTTCTTCGAGGCTTCGCTGTAGCTGGGTGGCAAATTCTGGAAAACCAAGAAATCGTATTAAATGATAATTTTGTGGAATATAAAAATATTTCGGATACTCACATTATATGATGGTGGCATATCGTTCGGGCCTGGTCCGCGGGATCCGCCTTGATTATAGGGTGTATTATAAGCACTAGCAGCGGCCTCGGCTTCTTTGGAATCTGTGTAGATTAATACGAAGTTAGTATTTCGATTCTTATATTAAAAAGACATACAGAATATGTATTTTATACGAATAGAGGAGTGTCTTACAATCCTTTTTATGGATATATAACTGGTATTGGTATAAAACAGAAGGGTCTTGCAACTTGGTAACAATTGGGATAATAATAATATTGCGTGCTGCTGGTTCCTGCAAAGTTTGCATGGAAAATCAAAAAAGAAAGAATAATTCGTTATACAAGTTACTAAAAACAAGTTTAAATTGCGGAACTATAGGCTCGGCTTTTGTTGGAAAATTTAAGCAACTGAATTTTAGTTATTTATATGATGTTCGAAACGAATAAAAGCATTACAAAATCTTACTTGTTTGCTTGGCTGTAAAGTAGTTTTGCACGAATTTGCAGTTTACACTGTGGAGTAGGTAAGGAAATAAAATTATTTCAGATGCCAAATAATTGATAAGGTGTTTTTGAGTTTAGTAACTTGTTAGATTTCTAGAAATTAAATACGAAAAATTAGAATGAAGGGATAAGTGTAAATCAAAAATTATGCAGCTAGGGATCTATTGTAAGGATTGCAAAAAATATCAGTTCGTCTCTGTTTCCTACTCAAATATTAATTTAACAATTTTCACAATATTTGATTAATTAAAATTAAAAGTTATGAAAATGTTACCAACCATTCAATGTTTAATTTATAAAGTTTTTATGATATTGACAGACTGCTCATTCAGACATGAGTCCAAATTCATTCTGTGAGGCGTGATTAATTAGTATGGACAACACTAAAAATGAATGATGAAGTTCTATGTAAAATACTAACTTCCAGGTGGCAAGCTGAAGCCCATAAAATTAGCCGCAGCACTACTTCCTCCTGCGTTGGCAGCAGACATTCCTGCAGATGTGTTTCCTCCAGGCTGCTGTGGAGGAGCACCGCCTGGGTAACCGTTTGGTTGCTGTGGTGGAGCTGCGCCAGGATAACCGCCAGGTTGCTGAGGCGGAATAAAGCTTGGTTGCATAAATCCACCAGGTATATTTGGATTAAAGCCTCCATAGGGAACTACGGGTGGCGGTCCACTATAAGGTGCCTGTGGTGGCATATCAGGCCTACATGCTGCGTACGGCGGCGGTTGTGCATAGCCGCCACCCCAACCAGCTTGGGGGCCATAGCCAGGCTGTTGTTGAGGCTGCTGATCTGGCGGTGCTGAAAAACCATACCAAGTGGGATCAGTTTGCTGCTCCTGCTGCTGCGGAGGGTGTGGTGCTGGTTGGTTGTTTGGTGGTGCTATTAAAGATATAGAAAGAAATGGATTGTGCAAAGGTGCGTTAGAGCTGGAGAATGCGCAAGCGTGTTACAAATATGCATTCAATTTTTTGGCCGATTAAAATACAAATGTCGTTATATGTACAAGAACAAAAGCCGAGTATGGGAAGGATAAAATCATATACACAAAACTTACTAATGCCCGGATACGGCGGAGGATTGTCACTTATAAAAACAGTGTTGGGTGCCGGTCCACTGAAGGCATCATGTTGTGGCAACCAGCCATAATAACCTGGTGGTGGCTGGTAAGCTGGTGGTGGAGCCTCATGCCAGGCACCGGCTGGCGCATATGGTGGCGGATCATCGCCAGCAAGACCGCCACGATGAAAGTTGCTTTGAGCGGTCTTAGCAGCCCGCAACAACGCTTGACCATACTCTATGGCTCCGCCTGACTTGAAGTACAGCTTGAACTTAACCTCGCCCACATAATTGCCATTAGGCTGGGCACGGACCTTGCCCTTAATGTAGTTGGCTCCAAAAACGGGTTGTTCAATTTCAACCTAAAATGCAATACGATTCAGATTATAGTGTGTCTGATTTGGAAAAGCAAAGCCATGTAACACTTACATCCGAAAGAGCTACAAAGGGTGCGCTAAACGATTGCATTACATCGCTTGGTTTCTTGCTGTTAAAAATCATTCTATGTGACGTCAAATAAACTCGTCCTTGCTTAGAGCCTCTGAACAGGTCATTATCCTGTCCAGAAAATTCCATTGAGACGCTGTCGCTATGCAACAGAATGCTATAGAAGAGGAGAAAATTTGGATTAGCTGTGGATATTCTTTTATAACAGAATGTTTTTAATTCTATACAGCTGTTGGGGTTTCCACTGCACGAAGTCAAACACCGTTTTCCGGCAAATAATTTCGCAAAATTATTTCATATTTCTTACTAATCCGCTCATATTATATATTTTGGAATTAAGTTTACAAATCCAATGGTTTTTTTTTTAGCGGCTTCGGTAGGAAATTTGAACGTACCGTTTGCAATTAGCAAAACAATATAATTATACTGATACCTATGTAAATATATGTATGTATGTATATTGTACTTTTATATGACGTCAGAGTTCGCTGGTTGCCCCAACAAAAGCTTGAAGTTCTCATTATACTTACTACTCTCCTGCATGTATGAGCACACCATTATTTGCGTGTGCCGTATTGATCGACATGTTGGATAGTTTTTTAAATAATTTTCTCAAAGATTTCAAAAGTTTGTTGTAAACTACGTTGTGCTTTCCTGTTGTTTTTGACCTAAACTTTCTCGAATTAACGACAGCTGATGAATCATGAACAGTGTGTACACATGTGCAGCGGTGCCGCATTGGAATGCCTAAAAAATACCACATTTTTGTTATGGAGTTATTTGCAGCAGCCCTGTGTATCAATGTAAGAAAACTTTTACACTTCTACACGGCACAGCCGGAGTCAAAATTTAGTTAAACTATTTTCATAACACAAATCGACTGCTTAAAATAGTCTTAAATGATTGTAAACGCACTACGTATGCTTTTACAACGCAAACTGTTTGGAAATCGTGCCCAACTATAACACAGCGTAACTAAATCGTTACCCTAATACTGAAAATGGTATTTATCGTGTAGTTCATATAAAACAATTTTCGAATGGCGTTTAATTATGCAAATTTGGCTGATAATATGTGTAAGTCAATGCTTTCGTATGTAATTTACCATAAAAGTATAGATATCTACTTAAATATGAATAATTTTTTGTTCAAACTACTGCGAGAAACGTCTGCTATGTCTAAAATAGAGACCCGACCACAAATCAGAACACATAATAGAAAAAAATACCGAACCACCTATCACGTTACGCTTTGTGTTCGTACATATTGCGTCGTTTGCTTTACTGTTTAGTTCGTGTCTGGTAAACAGCTGATTTTTATTTGTATTTTTTTTTTTTCTTTCTTCATATCGGCGTGTTCTACTGCCGGTTATAGTACCAGTTTTTGGGAGCATGCCAAATGGCGTCAGCTTGCCAAATCATCCAAATTTTATTAATCAACTGGCTGCTGCCATTACGACCGGCACGGTTGGCGTTGCCACGCCCACAGCAACGAACAGCATTGGCGCAGTGGCACAAACAACCGCCCCAACAAATAACAAGGCAAAAAGCAGTAAATTGAAGCAGCACAACGCACAGGGCAGTGCTCCTATGGATTTGGAAAATGACAATGATGCGGAAACAACAGAGGCCATGGCAGCTGTAAAATCTGTAGATAAATTGCCAGGCTCAGCTCTATCGCTGCCTGAAGCCCAGCAACTCTATTTAAATGGTTTGATGCACACACCGCCCGGCTACTTGTACTTTCCTACCGCACAAAATGCTGCAGCTGCTGTAGCAGCGACTACGCCAAGTGGCACAACGTCATCATCAGGTAATGCCTCGAATCCTAATGCACAAATGCTACTCGATCACTCCGCGATGATGGCGGCAATGCAACAAATGCAGCATAACTATGCAGCTGGCTATGTGGCCGCAACAACAGTTGGTGGACTGCCGTCTGATGGGGCTGGACCGGGAATAGATGGTACTATAGCAACCGGCAAGTATTAAATTATATTCTATTTCGTTAGTAATCTAATGTATCTTGTAATTTGTTCCGCAGATGGCACAAGCAATACTGCCGGCTTGAAAGAAGTGATCAAAACCAAGAATTGCATATTGTTTCCACCCAACCCGAATGCACCGCCACCTACCATACGCGAACGTCCGCCGGGCTGTCGTACTGTGTTTGTGGGTGGCTTGCCAGAGAACATTACAGAAGACGTTATTCGAGAGATATTTGAGTCATGTGGCGAAATCACCACACTACGCATGTCTAAGAAGAACTTTTGCCATATACGCTACCGACACGAGGCAGCCATAGATCGTGCCATTTACTTGTCGGGTTACCGACTACGCATCTCTAGCCAAAATGAGCCCCCGAATTTCGGGCGTCTGCATGTGGACTACGCTCAGGCGCGAGATGATCAGTACGACTACGAATGTAAGCAGCGTCAATTACAGAGGGAGCAGCGTCATAGAGAACGCATGTCGCTGGATCGCATGCGTTCACAATCGCCACCCCCAATACCACATTATACGGATCATGAGGCTACCGCAGTGGCAGAGCATCTGCGCAATAACGAAACGTTTGTGAAAGCCATACAAACTATTACCGCCTGGCTGGAACGTGGCGACTGCACTAAGCGCAATGCGAACGTCTTTTACTCAATGATCCAAAGCACACATGCGCATGTGCGGCGTCTGCATACGGATAAGCAGCAGCTCGAGGAGGATCTGCGTAAGGCGCGTGAATGTTATCGCAAACAAATGGGCACCATGTCAACACAATGTAAGTAGCCCATTTTGCAGGTCTAGTATGTAGATTTAGATGGGTTTTAGGTGCGCTCCTTTTACATTTCTTTCTGTTTTTGTTGCCGGTTAGCGTCTAGCGTCTGTATCATGAACAATCAATTAAATACAATTCACACTTAAACAGAACACACACGCTTACACACCCACACTTTCTAGCAATCTAGTCATCGTTCTCTCAAAAGCGAAAATAATACCAATTCCACATACAAGAATTCACTGTCTAAAATTTGCTCTCAAAGTACAATTCCAAAAACAAGGAGAAGGAGCAAATCAAGAAGCAAAAGCTGCAGGTAAAAGTTCAGTCACATCAGTGCTGCACAGTGGCCGAAACTCGATGGCGATGCGATCAAATTAAGATGATTTCTGACTCGATTGAATTGAATATGAGCAATTTCTCTCGTTATTTTGACGACTTTAAACTGAATCGAATTTAATGACACGTGTAAAGAGTTTTGCATTATTTGATTTTTTATAGCTAAGAAAAACTAAATCTTTTAAAGCTTAGTTCGTCATTACTTAACATATGTTTCTTTATTAGTAAGTGTAATGACTGCCATAGTAATTACATTTTTATCGCAACATTGTTTGTTTGAGCCACTGTGCAGTAACTCATTCTACTGTATCTGACTGTACGCCAAGTCTGAAGACTTAACATATGAATAAATAGATATATGTAAAGTGTAAGCCCAGGCCAAAGGTTTGTAAACCAACAGACATATACGATAAAGCCTTCGGACCAGACACCAACCGCCTTTCTGGCTGTCTGTAGAAAACAACTAACAACTAACTGCAATTGAAGTCTTTGAATATATATAACTATATACATAAACATATGTAGGTAACAAGCTGTTGTACAATATTTTTAGACTGTACTTTACCATATAAACTATACAAAATATTGTGTTATGCGAGGGACGCTGAAGTAGTTTTATTCTACTTATTATTTTCCATTGATTTTATTAGAAACCGCAAACTAGTTAAACGGTGAAAAATCAAACCAAACGAAACCCAAACAAAAAAAAAAAACAAAAAAAAAAATATCTACCCTCTGTCCTCCCTTAATATTATTATATATTATTGCATTATTGTTCAGTCACTCAGATTGAAAAAGTGTTCAATGCCGCTAGTCACAAGAAGGTTTGGGACCATTTCACCAAAGCCCAAAGAAAAAACATCGACCAATGGAAGAAATTAGCGACGGTACGTACAAAATTGTTCAAAGAATGTATTACGGCAAGTTCAGCTACGCAGATATCGTTCTAAACACATACTACATGTGGTACTCGTGCCTGTTCTTATTGTTCTGTCAGTATTGCTAGTCGTAAAATATTAATTAGTATCTTTGTTATCACCCTTTCGTATCCGTATCTGTTCTGCATGTTGGTTTCTGTACATATATCATATTGCTTTCCAACTTGAAATTTTTCATTCATTTGGTATTGTTTGCATTGTTCAGCTTAATTAATATTTGATAATTAGATCGATTGACAATCCAAATGTTTAACATCTTAACTTGTTAATAATGTTTTTCGTATATCTGTCTCTCTAAAACTTGCTATAAAATATGTTGATAATCAAAACTCACTTTCTTATTGGCGTCATGTTTATTGTTTTGTCTTTATTTGATCTATTTATATTTATCATTAATTTTTAGAATCATATATTATTTTTGTAAATAATTGAAATTGCAATCAAGGGAAACTGTTCCCCAAAATATATAAATATACGAGAATTTTATATATAAGATAATATACATTTTATTAAATCAGAGAAATTTTCTGATTTTATGGAACAGTTTCCCTTTTTCAGAGCTTTCTCATCTGCTTTTCATACTTAAGAATTATATTTTATAATATTTCCATTTGGCACAATTGATAGCAATATTTCTTTCTTTATCAATGACAAATTAACTAACCTTTTGCATAACGATTTTTTTCGATAAGCTTTCGATTTCCATTTAAGTCTAAACTTAACTTGTAGCCGAATGCCAAAGAACTTGTGTAATATATGTTCAATTTTCGAATAATTACAAACCCAGATAATTCATATATAGCTAAAATTTTGCAAGTTTCTAAGGCACTTACTGAGTTCGATTGGCTGTGCGTTTGCGTTGGTAAACAGTAAAACCTAAACATCTTATGATAAAACTCATTGTGCAACATTTAACATGTTACATGCAAATAATAAGTATATAAGAACATAATAAAAACAATTAAAATTAATAGAACTTTTTGAATGTGGCGAGGTAAGTAAGCGGACCAAAAGAGAAACGAAGAGCCAAATGAGAATTGTATGATGCATTTTCAATATACAAACCAATTATAATACCTAGGCTATAGAAATTACCATCGTAAACACTGGTTATGCAACAAAATATGTTATAACTCTATTTTATGAACTATTTAATGATAGTTAAAAATTTTGAAATGCCATGCAGGAACTGCGCACGGTCCAAATCGACGATGATGAAATGGAAATCTCAGATGACGAGCGCGACTACGAGAGGCGCAGCAAACGTACTCGCTACGATAGCGATGGACTAAAAGTAAGCGGGATTGATTGAATCAAGTTGTATACATTAATTATATTACTGATTATTTAACTTCTATTTTAGGATGAGAATGACTCACTACGTTGTCAATTAGAGGCCATTCGTAATGAGATGTCAGTGGAGCGCAGTGACTGTGTGCAGCGCGAAAAGCAAATCAAGGTGTTACAAGAAACAATACGTAACATGCAGACACAGTTGTTGCAAACAAAGCTGCGCGAGCAAAAAGACTGCAAAACCATTGAGCAGCTGGAAAGGAATCTCAAGGAGGCAGGCGTAAAGCAGCTGTTACTTAAGACAAAAATTAAGGAGACTGCAGATAGACTAAAAGACAGGGAAGCATACAGCACCAGTGCTTCTGTTGCTTCAAATCCCGAATACAGCAGCGGTGATTCGTGCAGTAGAAATGCGGATGATCTCAAAGCAGCTGCAAAGAAAGAAAATGCCATAGAATTAGAAATAATAGATATTGATAAAGTGGACGATGATGTACGCATTATCGAGCATCAAAGCGGTGTTGTCGAAATTCATGAGATTGAGGATGATGAGAAACTGGAGGCAGCTTCTGAGCCATTAAAGGCTTGTGATGAAGCCAAACAATTGCCCAAAACGGATGAAAGTCTAAAGTCTGATAAAATGGAAACTGTAGTGCAAACAACCGTTGAACCGTTGGCCACTCCAAAGGTAGATCCTGATTGCATAGATGTATACATGCGATAGATGGATATTGAACTTAACTTTTTTTTTATCTTTTGCAGAATGAGCTAATGTCGCTGGCACTTTTTGAAGCTAAGATTATAGCATTGACTTCCGCCTATTTGGTACTGCATCCCCATGGCGTGGACATTGACAGCATTTCCAGCTATTTACGTGGAATGTTGCTCAAGTCTCTTGAATTAAAGAGCAACGATGACCTACTAAATATACTCACAAAATATACAAATCTTTTCAAGTCTGAACAGTCGAAGTGGACATTCTGTGGTTTTTCCGACGAACCTACGGATGCGAATGCAACCACGGCGCAGTAAATCACAGGCGTTAACAAAAACAATTAAGGCTTTAACTAATTAACGTAGAAGTAAGGAATGAGCGCCAATGACATGTTAACCAAAAATGTGATTGTTGTAATCACAGAAATGAGACCAGTTTTCTAAACGTAGGAACTTGTAATTAAGTTAAGCTACACTAACGACAACAATTATTACAACAACAACAAAGATCTACCGTTTCAATTATTTTAACAATTAGATTGTAATGTGTAAACAAATACAATATGTACACAAATATACTGAATACATAATGCACATTATGTAAAGACACCAAACAAATGTTGCTAAAATTGCTTTTAATGTAATACGAACCAATAAATTTTATGCTATATTTACCTGGTAACAAAACTCGTTAAAATACCTTAAAAGGGTTTGAGAAACTAAGAGACTCTGCGAAGCAAAAAACACTGGGATACTTATAGAAATATATATTTAATGGTCTCTACGACTACCTATTCCTAATAGCTAATATGCAAGTGTTTCTCAGATTGGATTACTGGATCGTATGACGTAAAAGTGAGTCTCTATGTAAAATGTATTCAAAAGTATTAATTTTATTTCGCCTTTACATATTCGCCAATTATAAACCATAAAACCTTAACGTGGGCGTCTATACACAAAAATGCTCTCAATATTCTTATTGAGAGCTTATCCCTAAAATGATGCCTTTTATCGTTGTTTCGTCAAAATTTCGCAACTGCTCTACAATTACGTGCCAAGCTTACGATTCTTGCGTAAGCTTTAACGAAATATGAGAGCGTCCTTTGCCAAGGACACTCAAAAGCAAAACGTTTCTCACAGCATCCCTGCACACATAAGAGCCCACGCACACGCACACTGACATTCTTGTTAAGTTCAGTCATTCAAGCCTACTCACATTCGCACATCCTGTGCAAGGCCATGACGAAAATATCGAAACTTGAATTCCTGTCTCATTCCACATTTGACGTCATACGCTCTTTTCAATCTACATTTTATTATTCGATTAGTTAAAACCCAGCAATGAGATTAAATAACAACAAAGTTTAACAAAATCAAACGTAATTTTCCCGCTTTGACGCAGGCAGCATCACGGCTCTGTCTTTGAGTGTGTCGCTGTCGAGAGCAGTGGTTCGCTTTTTATAAAAAAAAAAAAAAAAGAATCTAAATTAAATGTTTATATACTATATATATAATGTTAAAATTTTGTAATACATTTTTGTTTTGTTAGTTTTTATTTATTTCCATTTTTTATTTTCTTACTTTTTGACTGCCAACTTGCATAGTTCGTAACACTGTGCGCTGTCGCCTCACCGTAAAATTCTGTTGAGCCACTTACCCAACAACGGACGCCCGCCATATCAACGATATCAGTTGTTTTAGCGAATTCGTCGCGCGCGGTTACTAAACGGGCGACGCGCTGAAAGACCAGCAGCCAGAACAGACTTCGTTATCCATGTCCATGTCCACTACATCGTAACTCTGTGTGTGTGTCACTGCTTGCTTGTGTACTCCTCCAATCGACAGTGAACTGTTTTTAAAAAATAAGAGAAAATACAAAAAGCAAACTGTAAATTTGTCTGCGCTGCGCTGTGTGCCTTTTCGTATATTTTAATAAAATTACGTGCACTTTCTTTTCACCGCGTGCTGGACTACATACCCAGCCTCCAGGAAGGACGAGTCAAGTTCAAAGTTTCTGCTGGAAGCTGCTGACGACCATCAGCGGGAGCTCGTGTTTGTTTTTGTTTTCTTCTTTCGGTAAGTTTTCGCCGGCATGTGTACAGTTTGACAAGCTGTGACTAACGAATGCCGGACAATAGATGGGACAATTGTGCCATGACTGCAAGTAAAGATAAAAGCAATGATAGCGAATAATAAAAAAATGAAGATTAGCTTCGTGCATATTAACTAAAGCAAATTGAAATTACTTTAAATCGATATTATCCCTTTAAATATAATTCGTTTAAGCTTCACATACGAACACTTAAAAAATAAAAATTATTTATTTCCGCTCACTCAATTCAAAAAGACATGTAATTATATTAGATGAGATAGCCAACTCAAAATTTTCTGATAACCAAATATACCAACAACAATTATTAATCATAGAGCGCTACATGCATTCTGGAACTGAACAATATAAAGCGGTAGCGTGTTACATTAAGGTCCAAGTTGAAAACATCGCTGAACTCAGCTGAAATTTTGGCGAGACATTGGAACGTGCCCGTTGGTAATCTTATGGAAAAGACAAATTAATTCATAACTACATGAGTTAACAAGACATACAAATAAATATCATCCGACATATTATAAATCAAACTAAATCACATCTCAAACTAAATAAAACTTTTCTCTGTAACTTGAGTTTTTTCCCTTTAAAAAAATATTTACTGCGCATTTTTCCCATCTTTCAAAAACAGATAAATAAGATACGCAAATACTAATCGAATCTGCCGACTGGAATTCCAGTATGCAATTAGGTAGAATGTTCTTTCCGAAACCAAAAAAATCCCCAGCTTTGTGATACATATATACTTATATATATACATGTAATATATATGTATAGCCAACACTTTAAACAACAGCAATTTTATATGGTATTTGAATTGAAAAAAATTCAACTTTCCTGAACTGATACAGAATCACGTACTTTTGGTTTTGGTACATGCTATAAAATTTTTTGTTTTGGATTTTATTTTACTGTTTTCGCTTGATAAGGCTTATAAATTTTCGTAATGTTTTAATCAAGATTTTGTATTAAAGTAAGGTATATTGATAAGCAGGTGTTTGCAATGAATGGAACAGAATCTTTGTTCCATGTACGTGCAGTTCTACCTGATCCCAACGTCATTCACAGATCGAATTGGGTAAATGGAAATCCAATGGATTCGACAGCGTGTTTAAAGTGAGTTAAATGGCAATAATATATTGCGCCTCATGATTTGCATGGAATGGAAAAACAACTCAATAGATAATAATTATAACGCCGTGTAAATTAGATAAATAACTGTAATTAATGATGAGCATATTATAAGAGAACTTCCATATAGGAAATCCGAATGCATTTTAATGAACTCGGCTTTTGTTTTATATAAATATAATAATAAATTTGCGTTTTGTGAAAAATAACAAATTGCGACAATTATCAGCGGGTGGGAAATCTGAAAAAGCAACTCACGTGCACACTATGCAAATGGCAGGTGAATGTGAGTGATGGGGCGTGGCTGTCGCAGTTCAACAGTATCCAAATGACGTGAGGTAATTTTCACAGGCAATTAGTAAACAATTTTGTGCACTTGCACCAGCTCAGATACAGATACAGTTACAGTTATTTGCCATTAGCCATGTTGACTCACCCCACCTGACAATAAGTTCAGGTTTGATTGACTTTAAATCAATGGAACTAAGATATGTACCCTGAGTGCAACAGCACCTGGAAAAGTTTTGGCAACATTGCTCATCTACAAAATCAAGTTCACAAATATGTAGATACATATGTATATAGATATTTATAGAAATGTGATTCCTCAGACTGTTGAACCGATAGGAAAAGAATAACAGACAGATCAAACGCATTCTTTACGCAAGATCTGCTTTGAGACGTACATTCAAAAATAGAGACACATAGACAAACAAAAATATTAAAAAAGTAGACAGCAACACCCACGCATTGCCTATGGATAACATTGAAATTAAAATAGAGAATGTAAAGAAAAGATATATTAGCCAAAGAGAAAAAATATGTCAACAGCTGCACAAATAGGAAATAGCTCAAATTGTTTATTTGGTTTTCGAATAAGAATTTCAAAACTTAACAGTTTTCATATTTATTTATTAATTAGCATCGCCAATGTATTTGTTATCACAGTTTAATATGAAACAATATGCAACGTGAAATAAAGTTGTAAACAAAAATCAACTCGGATGTTAATGTCGTTGGAAGAAATTCACGGGTCTGCGTTGTTGTTGCTTTACTTTGTTGATGTATTAGTAAGCAAGTATGATTCTTTTAGCAACATTTGTCAGCGGAAAACTTAAAGTCTTATTCAGTCATGGATTTTAGGCCTTTGTTCTAACTTAAACTAATACTGCACTTTGCACAATTTACTAGAAAATTAACTTTTATTTTTATTTCACTTAACAAATAGAGCAAAGAAAAGTGTTTTTTTGTTTTTGGTTTTAGCGTCTTACATAAACTCTAAAATTTATTTTCGTGTTTATTTTTTATTATTAAACCAAACCAACTAAATTAATAAAGGCAAAAACACACACAACGAAATTCAATTAAGTTTATTTTTACATCTGTTTAAGTTTCCGAGAAAGCTTTAAAAATGTCAATGTCTCATGACATATGTGAAAAATCTGGTTTTGCGTTCTTATTTTAAATGTTCGTTATTCGAGTTTATTTTGTTTGTAATACATTGAAATACGATTATTATATTTACTCGTTCCGGCACTGTTGCTGTACGATTCAGGTTCTTATTCAAAAAGACCGAAAATCACGGTGAAATTTCAGCTATCTGTTGCTCGAACTGGTCTGATAAGAAACTGTTTGATTCAGCTAATGTAAGCAGCAACCAAAAATTGTACTCATATCCGTATGTGTGGAGAATATAATTATGGACGTCACATGACTTGCTGCAGCTCCGAAGCACGCAATAGAATTAACAGCTGGGTGCTATTAGTATATATTATCGTATAAATAATATATAAAATATATTTTAACCGATTTCAAATGTTACACATAACAATAACTAAGTCCGGCTTGAAACGGGTTTAAAGAATTTCATATATTTTAAAGTATAATAAAATCGTACAAATCAAATGTCAGCATCATAATTAATTTTTTTTTAAGAAGCCTTAACCTCTAGAGTATAAATTAAAAATTTAATAGATTCGAAACTTTCTAATTATATGAGGTAATGTATAGTTGAATTTATAATCCTTTTTTATATATACTTGTAGTATTTGTAATCCTTTTATATACCCACTTTTTTCAGATTTATTGATAATAATTTATTTATTAGTTGTACTTAGATAACAGTAGAATGCTATATGAAACCCACATTAGTAATGACAAGTTGATAAGGCAGTTAATAGTTAATATATATGTGCCATAGACGTTTCAATTACATTGGAAAATACAATGTGATTATAAAGAGGTTACGATTCTCATATGATATGATATCAGCTGTATATTGAATGGCTAACTGTATATTGATGAAGAATGATCAGGCCTTATCAGAAGATTCTTTATTAATTGTAATTCATTTCAACAACTTGGGCTTGAGTGTCGAACTTGAGAGCAAAATTTTTAGAACGGGAACACGACCTTCAAGTGGAGGTTTAGTTCCGAGTTTTCCTATCTCTTTAAAATTGATGTGCATGTGTTTGAATCGTTTAATATAATAGTTTCCATTTCAAATCGACTTATCTATCAAATATTAATGGCACACGGCTTTAATCTTGTTTTATAGTATACGTATATGCATTATTATAGAAATCGTCTAGGCTTGTTATCAACAGATTTAACTACTGCTGGGAAAGGCTTATCATAATGCACTCAAACGTACTTTGAACGCTAGACCTTAAAACATTTTCAAGAAAGAGGGGCAAAGCGCTTTTAGCGAGTCAAGGAAAAATAGGCAAAAAATGTAAATGAAATCAAGCAAGTATTAAATTCAATTGAGATCCCGGAGACGGGCCTCTCCGCAGACCATTGATAACCCGCTTGAACTTTTGTCGTTCTCCGTTGTCAGTTGTCAGTAGTCGTTTGTCCTTGTCAGCTATTATTGTTGTCAACATGTGGACAATGTCGTTACGTGTGATAGCGATGCACAGGCGCATCTGGAGTCGGACACACCTCTGCCAAAACAAATCGTAAAATCCAGCAAATTGGCTCAAGTGCAGTCACTACAATATATATTAAATTGCTCAGTATGTATGTGAGATTAAACATAAAAAGAAATGAATAGAAACGTAAGTGTGTCTCATGTTTTTTGCAATCCTCTTTACGCAAATACAAGCTCGGTCTATGAACTTCAACTTGAGCAATTGTGCCTTACAAAACAACTTGCTTGAGGTCATGGTTGACTAATGTCGAGAATAGCCAATGATTATTTCAAGAACAAATACAAGATTATGCTGCCCTATGTTATGGAAAACCACAAGCTTTTTTATTTATAAAGTGCTGATACGGTTAATGAAATAATAAACATTTTGAATAAATATAACAA